AGGGTAATAAGAATCTACTTCTATGAATGCTCCCAGGCTCTTTAGAGCTCTACTTACTCTTTACATTCTTTGGACACATGAGGTGGCACCGTGTATTTGCAGTCCATTATCATAGTCAGAGTTTCACTGTCATTTGCTTCTTGAAACGGTGGTTGTCCACAAACCAACATGAAGAGGATAACCCCTAAACTCCATATATCTGTAAGTACACAGTACATATTTTAAAATAACTGTTGAGGAAACAGACATAATTAGCATCAAACCCATGAAATATTCTTGAGATGCATACTGGGGTTGTTACTGCATTCCTAATTATGAGCATTACTTATGGAATTTGCAACTCCACTGCAGCACAAAATACAGTAGTTCCATTGTCTGACAGCTTTTATCATTTTAGAAGAAAAAAGAACCAGAATTTCTGACTTCAAGGATGTATAACAGTTTGAGATGCATAACATCTTTGACAGCAAAGTGTTAGATAAAGCTGAAGATAATGTGGTCACTCAGAAGACAAGAATTCATTACCCATCTCTTCACAGGTAGGCACAGATCATTAAAGAGATTTGTATTCAGTGCACGTTCCTTTTTGAAGGACTAGCAGAAACCATTCTCAGTACTGTTTACATGTTACTCCATGAAGTAGAGAAATTACACAGAAAGTCACCTACTTCAATAAGACTAAACTAGATACGGTTTTTCCTTCAGTGGTGTTGCTTTAAAAAATCCTTTGCTACTTCAAATGGTAAATAAATTATTTAGGTAAAACTACCTTCTTACACCAATCATATTACAAAGTATGAGAGTATGAGTACGGGGTGTTATTTTGTTGTGGTTTTTGTTTGTTTTGGTTTTGTTGGGTTTTTTGGGGGCGAGCAGCTGCCATTGGTCATAAGAAGCAGAGTACACCGGCCCTGCCCTGGAAGAGCTTGCAAGAGGGAACCACACAAGGTTGCCTACCCAACTGCATCTTGCCTTCTGGGGCCTACTCAAAATACTTGATGTGCATTTAAAGCTGAAGGATGGCTACAATTTTATTTAATAATGTAAATCACACACATTCATTCCTAGAATAATTACTCATTTCGCTAGTTACAACCCATTCTTCATATAGCTTAGCTGACAGAGGAACAGAAAGACTAGATAGTAATTTTCTTTAGAGCTCTAATTCGTAGTAAGTGTATGCTATTAACTCAGACTGTCATTTGATTTCTGTGATGCTTGCTAGGGCCTCAATCCTATAGGTACTGAGCATTTTGAGGCTGGTACACCATATCATATACTTGCAAATTCAACATGACTATTCACATGTTTAAGATTCAGTAAGTGTGCTAATACTTTGATAGCCTGATGTCAGAAAGCTGAATGTTCTGGAATATAGGATTTTAAAAAGCCTCACAAGACAGAGAGGTAATTTCACCTGGGAGGTACAACTTTAATTCTGTAAAGCTACTTACATCTTTAGTTTGAAAATGGCCAAAAGGTTTTGGTGCATCATCCCTCTCTTATCACACAACAGATTGTAAGAACTCATTTTTTGCAAGCACATAACATATGTGAGTTCATGCCTTCCTGTTATCAGGATATCAATGTACTTCCTAGATTTTTAACTTTGCCTAAAACCTATTTTGTGATATGATCCATCGTAGTATTCTGGTTGATACCCTCCCCACAATGAAATGCTTCATGTATCTCTTCAGCATGCAGTATTTTAGAAGAGTCCACATAGCAGCATGTTTTAGGTGCTTGAAGAAACGAAAGCATGAGACAGCACAGCAAGAACTAAAACAATGTTGACAGTGTGAACACACAGAACTCAAATGCTCCATTTAAACCAGCACAGGGTTGTCTCAACTCAGCTACAAGACAATTATTTTTCACTTCTCACATCAAATGCAGTGTAAAGGATGGTTAAGTGTGAAGGAAGTGGTAAAGATAGCTGACAGAAAACAGGAAGCATTAAACAAATTTTCAAAGTCACTTCAGTTAAAATACACAAACCCTGAGAGAACAATGGAGAAATGGAACTGGTTTATAAGAATGGATTTTTCACCGGTATTTCAAACTACCACAGTTATTCAGTCAACAGCTGCATGTAATCCTAAAATAATAAAATAATAAATCCAAAATAACCACAGTAACGACAGTATCTTGCCCTTCCCAACCTCTCACAAAACTCCACGTCGGCACTTTAAAGGGTTAAAAGTCTTACTTACTCGTAAACATCTCTTCTAAATTTAACTAGGTAAACCGCACTCCCAACATGCAAGTAAATTCAAACACGTGGGTTTGGTAGCCTTCAGCACAGCTCAAAATCCAAGGTTTAGAATCTGAATTCTTCAAAGTAGATATTCCAAAATAATGAGGTAATACTCACATAATTTTGAAATATTTAAAAGCTCAACAGTTAAATTACTATAGGGTACATATATAAGAAATTATGTTTGTACCCAATCTGTTAGTTTTAAGCCATTTTATACATGCAAAAAAAAAAATCAGTCTTGTATCTGCACTTTCTACTTTTCTCTATTGGAGATCCACTGCTGCATCTTTTCCAGTCACATATAGATAATATGTTGAAAAAAGAATTAAAAAATGAAAATGCTTTCCTCTCTTTAAAAATACATTAAAAGGGTAAAGAAAAATTGTGATGGCACATTCTGGAAAATTCTTAGTTTCCAGAATAGTGCCATCTGGCTGACACAGGCAAAATCCAAGATCTTCAAGCACACCTGTCTTTGAGAAATTAGTAAAGGAGAATTAGAGATTATTTTATTGTAGTGCTTATGTACCTGATATCATTATTTTCCCAAACAACACACAAAGGCACACAATGTTCTTTACCACACTGGTTTGTGCTGCCATAATCAGCACTGCTCTGTTATTCTTCCCTATTAATAACTCATCTGTCCCCTGGATCCCAAGGAAATGGTTTGCACTCAACTGATCAAGTGCTTTGCTCAATGCTTGGTCAGTACAAGCTGCCCATTCTTGTGCTGTACCCTGCTATAACCAATTTCTGCTTACACGCTGGGCATAGCAAAAGGGGACTCACTGCTTTTGCTGGGGAGATCCCTTTCACCAGCAGAGCAGACAACAGCACCTTGATCTTTCATTTCTAAATCCCAAAGAGTGTTCTTGCCCTATTACACAAGGGGGTTTAATCACAAACTATGTGAAAGCCTCAGTCAAGATGTAGCGATCAGATATGGTCCAAAGCATAAACTCTGACAAGACAGATTAGGAAGATGTTGAAGGAGCAATGAAAAAATGGCTCGACATCCCATCAAAGCAAGGCTTCTAGAAAGAAGTAGCATCTCTTATTAGACGAGCTAATAACTGAGGGAAGAAAAATAGCTCAAAGTTTAAAGGAACAAAAGCTTCTCTTTAGATCTCTACACACTTGTGAAAGCATACTTTTTTTTTTCCAGTCAAGGCGGCCCTTAGAGTATGTTCTTAATTTGATATACCTTACGTCAGCTCAGGGGAAAACTCCCAGCTAAGACAGTCTCCTGCTTTCACACATTATTAGAAGCTGTAGATGTACATTTAAAAGCAAAGACGACAATATCTGTTTAATTTTTTTCCCGTTCTCTGACTGGTACCAGCTCACTAAAGGGTTGCACAAGCACCAGTCAAAAAACCACAAGGGAGAGTGCAGGACTGTATGGGTAGGATCTGAATGCAGAGCACGGCTGCTTTTTTAAGACCTGTTAAATGGGCTGTGCCAGTTTAAAAAAAAAATCTCACCTTCAGTTCAATGCAAATATGGTTTGACATACAGTATACACAGTAAAGAACTCTACAGAGATCCACCTCTCCACCTTCTCACCCCTGGAATAGCTTTTGAAGATAATATCTTAGCTATGGTGCTACGTTAATGCAAAAAAAAAAAATCAGGTTTTAAACAAAACCTTTAGATGTAATAAATTTGCCACTGGATAGTTTAACCCAATAAAGGCACAGGCTGTGTAAGGAAGACAGCCTGGCTTGGGCCACTGAGTCGCCATACATTTGCAGACATCCTCCCTTGTCACAGCTCAGAGCTCAGGTGGCAGTGCCAATTCTAGATCTGAGACTCAACTGAAGGAACACAGGGAAGGGAAGGGTTACAGAGACCCAATTTTAGAAGAGCAGATTTAAACAAGAATTTCTTTTGCACAGTTTCAGGGTTTTTGCTACTCTTCATAATTAGCAATTTAAGGCTTTATAGAAACTGCTTAGTTTTCCTCTTCTCACATCCACAGGTCAGCTAATTTGCTCTCTGCAGAAAATTAGTGGGAAAGCAGAATTTAGGCCTGACATGCTGCATGCATTTAGCATGTTTATAACCTATCAAACTTCCAATGAGTATAGTGAAGGAAGGCACACTTGTATACTGAAGTGGCCAAAATCAAGGTCTCTTTTAAAAAGCACAGTGAAGATCTCACAATGCAATTTAGCCTTTAAATTGGGTACTCGTAACTTGAAACTGCTATTGCTTAACAAGAATAAAATAAGAGCAATCAGGACTTTTAAAAGCACTAGCTAGGTGCAGTAGGGAGTATTTTATTGTTTTTAAAGCCATTAAATAATGTTGATCAGGAAAGGATTGTTGAAGCAGGATTCCCAGAACCATGACAACCAGGGCTGTGTATATGCAACTTCCTTACATAACGTGAAGTCACTGCCATAGAAACCAAACGACGTCACGAGCTGTCTATGCTGTGCCTGTCTTAAACACGGGGCAGCGAAACATCTGTTATGTTCCAGTTTGTGCACTGCACAAAGGATATCCACATTCATCTGCTTAACCACTGAGCTGGGCTTCACCATTTCATTAGCCATTTATTGCTTTCTAAATGTCCTGATTTACTCCTAAAATAAGCACCACAAGATTTCAGAAAGTTATGATGTATGTGACATAAGGGATTCTTACAGCATAAGATTTGCTCAAACTTCTACCATTCCTCAGAAGTCAGACACTTGTCACACTTTGTATGTGCTATATGAATTTGTGATTCTGAACAGCTAAAAATCCATACTCATTTTCAAATAGACACATTCACATTTATCTACATAAAGTAAATTGAGTCTATTTATTCAAGTTATTTCAGACCTTTATGGAAAAGATTTTTTTTCCCCCCTCCTAACTTAATGCAGAACTGCCTAACAGTTTACACAGTGTATATTGCTCAGTTGATAAGACATCTTTCTACAGAA